AAGCTCCCAGAAACATTTAATATCGTAGTCAAAAATATCCGAGTAGAAAATTTACTTTCCGGACATCACTCATTTTCATACTGACTACAACTGCAACATAATATGGTTCGGTAGGAAATCAAAACTTACTATGATATGGGATTCCAAAAATATCCCTGTTCTCTTGAAAAACATTTTTCTGAGGGGTCACCATTAAGCAAATTTATGCGATCGATTAATTCTACATGCATCAATCGTTCGTCCGGCAATCGGTCCACACACAATTAGCCAAGGTGTATTTAATAAGGTGTAAGTGACAATCATATGGTTTTAAACTTTTTTTATTGTTTGTAAAGTAAATTGTAAATTGTCAAAAATATTTGTCAACGTTTCATTTCGATTTAAAATATTTTCTTTTGTTTTCGATTATTATTTTTTATTAATAAAAGAGCAATAATAATGAATTTATAGGGACGGAATATTTGTTAATGCCCAAAGTGACGACAAGGAAGCGTGAGCATAAATCAGTTCTAAATCCGGCCGCTGATTTGTTCTACATATTTGCCGCAAGTACAACGATTATGATCGATTTAATACCAAAAGGAGATTGTTAAAGAAAAGGAAATAAGCCCCTGAATCCCCTGTTTCCCTCAAAATCAAGGAAATGGTGTTATATAGCTTGTATTAGAATTTGTCCATTAGTTTTCTACAAACGCCTGGCTAAATACATTTTTTTTACAATTTAAAATGAGATTCTGTTGCGTAGTCTATTGATAGATTGCATACGCGTTTGTGGTGTTTGACCGGGGATTTATGCCCTACCAAGAAGCCACTTCTTCAAAAATTATATTTTAATTTAAAATATAAGCAAAATCCCCAAGGAACCAAGGCTTACATGTGGGACATTTTTCAAAATTATGCGACCTGAAGAAATGTATAATTGTTTTTATTTACTTTTGTCAAAACCTATTTGTCAGCATGACAATTTAATTTCTATAACAACAATGTTGTTTTTGTAAAATGTTTGTTGTTGTATCTGATGCATACACCTTATTAAATACACCTTGCAATTCGCATTTATTTTCCCAAAAATGTAAAATCCTAATAAGATGATCCCTATTGAAATTGGAGAGAATCATATCTAGGCCTTAGTTGTGTCGTTTCGAAATTAACCAGTTCAATTGAAATAGTTGCGAGAAAGGGACGATCGGAACTAGATCCAGATCTTTAGCTTATTTATTTTCAATTCTATTTCGTTCCTTCATTTGTCGTTATTTCTCGATTATTTTGCAGCTGCTACCACATTGATATCGATGCCATGATTATTTAAAGAGAAGGAACTACAGTCGAAATCATTTATAAGGACGATGAAGGGACCGCCCAAATATTTTCGCAATAAACGACAGTAGTTATAAGCGAAGATAACTTTTTTCGGGGCCTTTGAATATCGTCGCTATAACCGGTATGTCTATTAGATCTTTCACTTCGAAGTGGGATTCCAGTGTAGAGGATTTCTGTCGTCTATGTGAGGACGAAGAAGAACTAGAAACAATTGAACATATCCTCTGTAAATGTCCATCGCTGATTAGCAGAATACATAAACAGTTTGGAAGATATGGAAGATATTTTTATAATCTAGCCTTCTTTTCTAAAATAGACCTAAAAATTTGATATTTCTAAACTAATCTTTCTTCCGCTCTTCTTCTCTCGCTATGTTTTCTCCTTGCTCTTCCACTCTTTTTTCTTTGCAGGTAAAAAAGGATGATCACAAACATTGTAACTAACAACCGCACATCCCTAACCTAACCGGTATGTCGCTAAATTCGATGTAATATAAGGGAAGAGAAAAACGTCGGATCCACTTAATTTTCAACCGTTTAATTGAAGAAAAATGTTTAAACCTTCTCCAGCCTGTTTCTGAAAAATTCGAATCGAACCAATTCGGACGAATTACTGACTTAACTTTTTCGGGGCTTTTTGATGTCGGAAGAGAAAAAATCCACGAATCCACTTAATTGCCAACCGTTTAATTGAAACCATTTATTTTTCACTAGAACTTTTGTTGGGATAATCCCATTTTATGAGGATTTATTTGACATATGGAAGCAATGGAATTGACAATAGGTTCGTTCGTTTACTCAATAATTTGTACGAATTTGTACAAATTATTACAAAATGTTGTTCGTTTACCCAAAAGTCCAGTAAAAGAGAGTGAATTGAGAGAGCAGATTTGACAGTTGTGTTACTGAGTATTTGCAAATTCTTACAAGGAAAATTTACTCAGTAAGAATTTTCTTGTACCATCAGCTGATATTTAATCAGCTGTTTTGTTATGTTTTGTAAACAAACAAAAAATTGTTCTCAAGAAAATTGATTGTTTTGTGAATTTTATTTTGATTTTGTATCATTAAATACCAAAATGGATGAAGAAAACGCAAGTATTTAAAAATAAGAGTAATAAGAGTAATTGGCGAACGATTTTTTAGGTTCCAAATCGAAACAAAAAAGTGTGCATCCCTAACATGTCTGGAACACCATCGGTTATGTCCACCCCCATATCAATTGCAGATACAGGAATAACAGGTCACAACCCTTTTAAATGTTTATGGGGAACAAACAACATCAATTTTCCGCTTGTTATCCATTTTTCTAATAAAAATGCTGTTTTATAGTTTGCGCCAATTTGTTTGTTGTTTTAATCAGCTGTGTCGAAACAATCTTTTTACTGGATGTTGTTCGTTTACTTTTTGCAGTTTTCTCTCTTGAAAAGGAAAAATTCGTATTTACTCTCTGCAAATTCTTACTGAGTAAATATTACTGGGAAAGTAAACGAACGAACCTAATTAAAACCCACTGGGTTTACTAAATCCAGTATAATGTAAATGTACTATGAGGATCACCTTTTGAATATACCCATGATGGAGAAGGGTATAATATGAATCTGTATTCTTTAATTATTATTTGTTATTGCCTGTTGGACCCAATGCAGACTGTGCGAGCGCCAAACATTTCGTTTTTATTGTGTTTATAATAAGAAATTGCATGCAACAAATGCATGGGTGGAGATTTGCCTGTGCCCAATGTATATTTAATAAGGAGCCGCATCGGCCCAGCTGTTGGTGCAAATAAATGTCAAAAATGTTGTTGTAATGCCGAAGCAAACAATCAGCGTGACCGTTGTGCCACTAAAGTGGCAATTTTGCCACTTTTTTCGCCTTTGCTACTTTTGTGATACTTTTTCATTTTGATACAAAATGTGCCACTTTTTGAATTTTTGTGAAACTTTTTGTTACTTTGTGCCACTTTTTTTAAAAAAGTACATAAATTAAAGCGATTTTTCATAAAACATAATGATTTGTTTTGTAATATTGTATCAGACGGAGCGATTTTAACTAGGTTGCGTTTTTTAACAGACTTAGCAATTTTTAACTAGGGTTCAGTTTGTAACAGACGGAGCGATTTTTATTTTTATTATTAGGTCGCATTCGCATTTGTGTGTTGGTATGTTCCCGTACTGCAAGAATCTACTAGATTTTACTATTTTCTTCGATAACATAAAGGAAAATTCGTTATCGTAGTAAAAAGTAGTAGATTGTTGCAGTACGGGACCAGACCATGTGTGTTTCGGTTTGTAGAATTTTCGATTGCTATTTTTGAATAACAGCCTGTTTTTGTAAAATTCCAAACGAACGAATTCAAGTGACTTACGACCAAACTCCATGGTTTTGAAAAATATGTCATTTATAAACGTAAATAAAGGTTTGGTCGTAAGTCACTCGAATTCGTTCGTTTGGAATTTTACAAAAACAGGTAGTTAAAAAATAAATGTTATTCAATAACAATATATTGTCTGTTCCCTTGCTGCAAGAATCTGCTGCTTTTTACTACGATAACGAATTTTCCTTTATGATATGGAAAAAAATAGTAAAATCCAGTAGATTCTTGCAGTACGGGAACAGACCAATAGTATATACCGGCTGATTTGATTCCAACGTAATACTAGTGTCAATATGAATTTGACAAATTATGTTTTAAAAAATCACACAATAGGAAAATTGGGAACGCATACAATTTGAATTTGTTCTTTATTAAATGTGCTCATGTATTCAATTTACTCAATCTGCCTGCTGGGAAAGTTTGAGGAAGCAAATCTTTCTTCAAGGAATAACTCGCTATTACCAGCATTTTCATATGTGTTACACATATATATGGCAATGACTCAATTATAGGAAAGATGTGGAAGCGATAGAAATATAAAGTTGAACGATTTTCATTCATGTTTTTCAATTTTTATTTTGAGGATTCGAAAATTTTTCATTTTCAAAATAAAAATAATTTCATGAAAATTTGTTTCTTTGTTTACATTTTTCTGTCAAATGAGTTGACACTAGTAGAACTTACAACAACAAATTTCCATGTGGTTGTTGTATCGTTTTTTGTACAACAACACTTGCTGTTACCTTCTATTATTATACCATGTGTTTTATATAGTTTTTTATTAAATAAAAAGCAAAAAAAGTGTGCCACTTTTTGTGACACTTTTTCAGAAGTTATGTGCTACTTTTTTTAAAAAATGATACTTTTTGTGATACTTTTTGAAAATTTTCAGCGGTCACGCTGCAAACAATTAAAAAACTAAATTATAAATGAAAATCTCCGAATTTCGAATAGCTGGTTTGGCAATACTTTTATTAACATATTTTTACAAGAGTTTGTGTAAAAAAATCTTGCGAATCTGTTTGTTTTGGTAAAATATTTTTGACATATCAAAATACAACAACCGATGTTTGTTGTAGAAATTCGCCGATGCGGCTACCTTGCCTGTGCCAAAACAAAATTCTTTGTTTATTTAACAAACGTCAGTCTGCAGTCAGTCCGGCCCAACCAACATACATTTTGTGATTATTCTGTCCAAGGGGATTCACCGGTTGTGCGATTAGTCTTTGTTCAATGCCAAAACACTTTGTCGTAACTCAATTTTCCAATTACTCAAATAACCACAAGTATACGAGGAAACAACGATGTCTCGGTTCCTGAACATAACCGCCGCTGACATGCAGAAATTTCAACAGCAACCTGAATATATGACCAAACCAAAACTCGTCCAGATTTACGACATCAATTATACTCGATTCACACCGGCGAAAAAAATACGATATCTTTTTAAGGAACCGAGTCCAAGTGAATATCCTCTGGATCTGGAGTCCAACTATGAAGTACCCATTGAATTGAAACATGATACGCAAACGAATTTGCTACATCCGCTATTACATTGCTATTTTGGCAAAGATCGTAATGATCGAGTGCATTGCAAAGGCGATGACGGACAAAGGCATGAAAATAATCCGGAAATGACCGATGTCTATACCAGACGTGGTATTTTGGAAAAAATCATGGAATTTTGTTATGGCAAATATAATTTTTGTGTACTTGTATCACGTTACAAGGGTAAAATTTTTATGGTCGAAAAACCAAAGGATGAAGATAAATTCGATGAACAACAACATGGGCATAAACATCATCGGCGTATAACTCAATTGACATCGATTGGTGAGTACTAAAATGGCTATTAATAATTGCGCACACAATTTTCTTAATGCAATATCCAGAATAGGTGTAGGTTTCGCTTTGAAATTTTTACCACAAATATCCCAAAGGGTCCACTTTCAAATTTGTTTAAAGAAATATAACATATTTTGTGGCCAACTTGTGTCCAGGGATTTAAAACTTTCTCCTTCCTATGCACAGAAGCCAATATTAAAATGTATGGGAAAATTCCAGGTCCCCAGTGGAACTACTTATGGTAACAATTTCAACGGCATAAGTTGAATATAGAAGCTCGACTGGAGTCGATATAAAATGTTCACCAAAGGTAGGTCATGGTCTGCTGATTACGTCAATATATATTACTTCTTGATGTATAGGCTTCGGAAGTTCAAAAACCTCCACTTTTTATATTAAATAGCTGGTCTTGTGCTGGAGATTTAAAACATTCTCATATGGACAGATGGAAAAATTATCTAACGCAAAATTTCACATCGATCGTAGTCTAGGTTCTATATTCAACTTGTGACATATTAGTTATCGTTTTGGTATAGCCCTCATATTCAGTTCCCGACTGCCTACGTATTTTGAAAGTTTTTTTTTTTTTGCATTTTCCAATTGAAGACGTTATAATTTAGCAGTCACTTATGTGGCACTCTGACACCGTCAGGTCCGTTGTGATCATCCACGAGAAGAAAAGGGATAATGAGAGATTTATAGGGGAGAGAAGATTGGGGAAATAAAAATAGATGAGAAGCTTACAGAAAGATATAAGAAGGTAAATCTGGAATAATGTCGACGGCTATAGAGATCAGACGGAAGATATATTACGTGTCAAGGTTGCACTTTCCCAACGACTTTAGGTTTCTAATTATACTGTAGATTAGAGCAGGTTCAGTTGTTGAGAAGAAGCTATGACTCAGTGGAAAATGAGCACGCACTAGTCTGTGCCGCCTGTAAGCCAATCAATTGTCTCCGTCTCCTTTTCGTCAACGCAGAGTCTACAGTAATCAATTGCATCAGGATCTCATTTGCTAGTAAAGGCCCTGATATTGCAATGACCAGTAATGATTCCTGTCATTACTCTTATTTCAGCTTTGCTCAGGTTCAACAGTGAGTGCGTCCTATTGGTAGACAGAGTCGGCCAAATGGATCTTGACACGTTGCACCTAAGTTCGTTGTGCCAAAGTTCATAGGCTCTTTCGTTGAAGAGGGCTTCAAAGTTCCGGTAAAGATGACATATGGGTGGTTTGATTGAGTCATTAATTGCTAGATCTGTGGATTAAGATCCTCGTCTAGCTAGTTCGTCTGCTCTTTCATTACCCAAGATGTCACGGTGTCCTGGTACCCAACACAGTCGATAGCTGTAAGTAACACTTGAGGACAGCCTCAGATTTGATATAATAAGATTTCATGGCTTTAAGAGCCGCTTGACTATCAACGAAGATAATCACCGTTTCAACGACCTCTGCACCCCGTATAATTTAGTATTTAGAGTTCCTAAGGGGTGAAAAATATCACTGCAGATAATGTTCAATTTAGGATCAAGTTTTGGAATCCATAAGAGGTTTATAATTTTTGTACATCTTATTTGTAATAGACATTTCGCCCGAATTATGTAATCGCAACGATGACAACGTATTTCAAATTGCCATACATGAAGCGAATTTGGGAAAATATAATCTACACTATGTTGGCAGGGCTCAGTCTATTAAAATCACAGAAGAATGCAGGTAAATGAAACAACTCAGTATTAACATTTTTGAACTGCAACTTTTTTATTAATCACCTTTTGTTTTTAGAAACGATTTAAATCAGTTGAATAAAGTGGAATTTATTTCCACGAAACAAGTATGGTCAAATATGCGCGATAAAAGTTTAAAACTTTTAAAATATTGGTTGCAAACATATTTATCGAATGTAAGAGAATTATATATTGCATATAAAGACACAAATGCAATGGTTAGAGATCCAATAGAATGTCGGAAAACATGTGATATTCCAAAGGTGAGTTCGTCACAACCTTTTGTTTTTGTAGAATCAATTCCTAAGATTGTTTATTTTCTTTTATTTAGAGTTGTTTTTGGGAGCCGAGTGTTTGTATAACGTTTCTAAATGAATTTCTCACTAAGGTGGAGGAAGTTACGTCGAACACAGATTCATGGGATACGGTTTTTGAATTTCATTTTGGTGCCCTAAACAAACAGGTTGTATTAATTACGAAATCCGGTAATGCTTTTATACCAAAGGAATATATTGATTATATTCAATAATGTTGTAATTATTTGTAAAATATTTTTTGAAAAAGAAAAAAATTGTATAAAATCAGCAACACTTTTGTAAGAATTTTATTAACATAATAGCGTTTTTTATGAAAATAAATGCTTGTATATATCAACAAAGGTAAATTCAGATAATTTAAATCTAATTTGAAATATGTTATCAATAAATTACTATTTTTGAAAAAATAAAATCCATTTCCAGGTTCAACAGTGAGTGTGTCATTTTGGCAGACAGAGTCGGCCAAATAGATCTTTACACATTGCACCTAGGTTCGTTGCGCCAAAGTGCATGGGCTTTTTCCTCGAAGCTGGGTGGTTTGATTGAGCCATCAATTGATAGATCTGTGTCTAGCTAATTCGTCTCCTTTTTCATTGCCCATGACACACAGTGGGAAAAAATACCGATCTAGCGCGCCGAAAATAAAAAAAATGAACTTGAAGGAAACTTTAAAACATTATTGCAGTTTTAAAGTAGAGTGTTGAGTGTACTTAAGTCCGTATAAAATAATCCGAATTAATAAGTTAGAACGGAATAACGGTACATTTAAAATAGATATTTTTTCCAGTGTTAAAAATGATATTTTTTTTAGCTATAAAATTGCGATAATTTTTTTTTTTGCGACTCTCGGATTTATGGCAATTTTTCGAAAAAATGTCAATTTGGTATAGGAAGTTTTTTTTATGGTTTTGTTCAAATAAAATTAAAAAATTGTGAATTTTGTTAATATAATTGATCAAATATGACTTGGAATAGATCACAGTACAGCAGATAAGAAAAAACAAGTTCAAAATGTCCGTCGTAAGGTTCCAGAGAAATGGGTGTGAGTATGAAAATGAGGGTATGTTTTCTACCTATGAATTTTTCTACATATGAATGAAAAATCCGCATTTAACGTATTTAATAAAAAATGAATAGCGATTTATTTTAGTTCTTAAACAAGTGAAGTGGAAAAATGCCAATTTTGTACAGAGAGCTCTTTGAAGTTTGGCTAAATTCTAAAAAAATTCTGATGTAAAAGAATATATATTAGATAGACTTGGAGTCAATGCTACCGATTATGCAAACGCTAAAGGGATTTGTCGAACAGTTACCACGCTATGTACGCGATTTGTCTGAAGAAGCCATGGAATCCAGAAATAAGGACTTTCGGAACTAGAGGGAAGTGTACACCAGAAAAATGAGTCGTGAGGAAACAATGAGGCATCTTTTCAATAGGTTGATATTTTCTTCTGATCCAAAAAGATCATGTTTGTCTCGTAGTACATCTCTTAATCATCGATATAGTGAGCCACTATCTGAAGAAGTCCTTAAACTATTGGAGGATCCAATGCTACCAACTAATTCAGATCGGATTCTGAATGTGATTAGCATTTAATAAGTAATGCCTAAATTTTATAAAATATATATAGTTTAATGTTTTAGATATATAATATCAACAATAATAAAGATACATATAATAACAATAGTGTTTGCCCTTAACCCACTTTTTACCCTCCAAATGTTTCGGAATTTTTAAAAGAAGCTCCCATTTTAGGAGTACTATTAGTTATAACGAGAAATGTTGCTTATTAAAAAATGTTTAAAAAGCTTCAACATAGTAATTTTCACAGAAAAATTTAAGTTTTTTCTAAAAAAATAATTTTTTTTTCAAAGTTTTTCATAAAATAATTAAAATTGTCCGTCTTAATCTATTCTTATCCAAAATATCGATAAACATACAGTAAAACATCTACTTTTACTTTCTGCGCGCTAGATCTGCATTTTTTCCCACTGTGTGACGCCGCGGTGTCCTGGTACCCAACACAGCCGATAGCTGTAAGTAAGTTCTTCCAAAACGGTTCTACACTTGAGGACGGCCTTAGATTTGATGAAGTAGGCTTTGATGGCTTTAAGAGCCGCTTGACTATCCACAAAGATAGTCCATCGGTTCAACGATCTCTGCATCCAGACTTTTTTTATGAATTCCGCTGCCTTCCAAATAACGAAGATTTCAGCTTGGAACATACTACAGTTGTTATCCAGCTTGTAGGTAAGCTCAAGGCCTAGCCTTTGACATTAGACGCCAGCCCCTGTACCTTCTTCCATCTTGGATCCGTCTGTATAGAAAGCTAGACCATCTTGAGGAGGGTTACTCCGATTCGAGTCGTCTCTATTAGGAATAACGACATCTACATCGTCAAATCTCAGGACTAGTGAGGCCCAAAGGTCTTAAGTTCAGCATTGCGTTTAGAGCTACTTGTGGGGCTCCTGTTATTAGAATAGAGGCAGCAGACATATTTGTATTCTTATTCTTAGGAGAAGGTAAGAACCTACATATGTATATAGAAACCAAAAGAAGGAAAATTGTATATTTCTTTCAAATTTCAGACATAGTGACATAACTTCTTCAGAGCGTCATGCAAAAATCGGCTCTGAAAGTAATTCTATGCATATATTCCAAATTAAGTACATATCGACGCTAAGTCTGAAAAGTGAGTTTTTCCGTAGAAGCTCTCAAAGTATGAAAGTTTCATATATCTTACGGGCCATGCTAAGTACATTTTTGCTTATAACTTTGGTTTGGATTGGCCGATGATTACCAAAATTTCAGAGAATATAAATTAAGGACCGTAGTATCTAAAAACGTAAATAACTTTAAAACATGCTAAGTCGACTTAGCATACTATGGTTCGGAGGCGTCGATATGTGGTGTTGGAGACAAAAAATAATTTTTGCTATAATATAGGTAATGTATACGATGATTCAGTGCCTGCCCGAACTAAATGCAATTTTTATTTATTATCAGTAAAAATTCTTTGTCAACAGTTTGCTATTACAAAAAACAAAAACGTTATACACATTTAAAAATATACAACAACAATAAATAAAAAACAGGGAAATTACATTGAATTACATTTCTGTATAAAAGAGTGGTAGTACTTTATTATCTTAATAAAAATGGATACATTTTGTTTAGTTCTCCGTATCAATTTTACAAATGTATTTACATATATTACTATGTAAGTTTATATATAAAAAAACAGGAAGCATTATGGTTTTGTTTTTCAAGTAGTACATACTTTTGTAAAAACAACTATGTCTACAAATGTTCAGGTATATGTATGTATACAATTAATTGTATATATATGTTTTGGAAGATAAGGGATATAAAATTGATAAACAATAAAATATGATAACTTTTGATTTTGTTTTTACAATATTTACGTATATATGTATGTATGTGTGGAATGTATATGGGTTGTATATAACATCTATAATACTATTCTTTTAAAGAACAACCATTTGTAGTAGCACTATTACCATTAATATTACCATTGGTATATAGATTCTTATAGCAATACATTATTTCAAAATTATCGGAATAGTTGCGAGGCAAAGGATAACCAATACCATCAACACCGAGGTAACATGCACCATACGCCATACTTTTGGTAATGCGTATCAATTTTAAACCAAATGGTATATTCTCTTTGCTCAGTGTTTCAGTGAAACCGGATTTTAGTAGAGTCCAACTTAGCCACACCGAACCGACACAGGCAATATTTAAATCTCCCGTCTTCACTAAATCTTCGTGAACATGCGGCAATAGTGCTTGTATACTACGTGCCAGATGGCTACCAGCTTCATGGAATACAAATTTCGCCAATTCATCACCTTGTTCGGCGGCATGTGATAGCTTCTTACATAGGCTTGCGTAAAATGGTTTATCGAATTTGGCATAACAATGCGATAGAATTTCATGGCGACTCTGCACGTTGAAATGATCCTTAATTAGCTTCCAAATGTGTTCGATCGGGTAGGGTGATTTACGGAAATTATCCATATCATCAAATACCATTTTCACAGCACGATGAGATATGTACCAAGCTGAAAGGGAGAAAAAATAAGATTTTTTTACTGGGAATATTAAAAGATGTATGTAGTATATATGAAGGGCAAACAAAGTATTCGTTGTAGATCCTTATTTTGCCATAGCCCCTATATAAAAGTCCCACACCATTTTTGGTAGGCATATATTTCAACGCTTGGAAATTGTCCCCACATATAAATGTTTCGCAACGTTTTAGGTAGACATTTCGCAGAAATTTGTCAATGTAGGTCCAAGTTCTGACTTAACGATGTTTTTACCCGTTTATTGAAATTTTGAAACGATAGGGTCTAACTTTGGTTAGAATCTGTTAGAGTTTAGAAATAAAAATCACTGCTGTACAAGCTGCAACAACAACAAATATGTAAAGTTAGTGGTGGCAAAAATCGGTCAGAATTCCTCCTTAGCATCTTCGAGGCCCAAAAGTCAAAGGGAGGAAAGGGAGAGCAAAAAGAAAAATGTCTGTATAAGAGCAGCTTTCAACAAGATCAAGAAATTCCATGCGAAGACAATTGTCTCCTTTGGATCTTCGACAATCAAAAATTGCAGGTCAAAGAAGTAAAAAGAAGGACTGACTGCATCAGAAACAGTACTCTCAAACTAACCTGAGCGTATACTGAAATCTGTTATATGTAAATGTCTTAGTGTGTAAATGACTGAATAGAATTGTGACATATTTTTGTCTTTCCAAGCGGATAGTTTTTAAAGGAAGTGGCTTTAAGTACGGCTGACTCTAAAGAATCCCTAAGAGTCGGTTGTTGTTGTAGCAACAATAAATACGTTTTTTGTATTATTTTGAGTTTGTCTCTTCTGTTTCCAGTTTCATGAAGGTTGCAATCTGGATCGGATGCGTCCAATGACATTCTAGAGACACATAAGTGGGTTTAACAGGGCAGTTGAAAAGATGCAGCGTATCGTGAGGTCTAAGTCCACACGGAGGGCATATGTTTGGTATCGTGCTGTCAATTCGGGTTCAATACGAATTAAGGCGGCTGCACCATCCTAATCTTAATTTGGGCTAAAAATACTCTCGTCAGCAACGTACACAGGATTTCATTTCGGGGGGGGGGGGGGGGGGCCGGTAGTACTAAATGAAAAAATTCGCTGTTGCAAACATAAATTTACTGTTAAAAAAATTCATTTCGGGGGGTGCCCGGGCCCCCAGGGCCGCCCCCCTGCGTACGTCCCTGACTCTCGTCTGTCTAGGCAGCTATCGTTCTTCTGCTGCTATAGGTGGTGGGTGAAATCCAAGAACTGCATTCACGAGGTATTGGTCCATTGTCTGGGTCACTGCTACCCTGTAAATGCTGGTAATTCTTGCCCAATATGCCTCTTGATCTAGGGGTTCTATTTTACACCGTTGGACCTCTCTCTAAATCATGTAGGTCCCTCTTTACATGCCTGGGTAAGGGCAATTCTATCCATAAGGTGATGGTATGGATGATTCCGGCGATATCACCCAAGCAGTACTGCACCGACAACATCCTGTTGTGACGATGTACGTGTAAGACCATTGCCTCTTCAAGTAAATGGTCCACTGGTGTTATAAGGAGGCACCCTGTCCTAGATCTCAGGGCGGAATTAGTGCGCCATCAACCATGATGTTTAGTGGGAGCTTCATTTCAGCCGTCCAGTTGGTGAACAGAGTGGCTGTGGATTTAGCGGCGGACATCTTCATATTCCCCAGATGGAAGAACTGTACCCCACTTTGGGGAACTTCCAGTTTCACTTTACGGATTTTAGACTTCTTGTTTTTGAATTGATTATCCATTGTTTCAAACTAGGCCGGTGGTTGGCCTTCTCTATGTCCTCGACGTGATTGACAGTTTCGAAGGCTTTTGATAAGTCAAGAGCCACTAAAACACTTCTGTCGCACGTCCAGTTCTGATTAAGTCCCCTGCAGTAGTTGTACTGTGCATCCTCCGGAGAGACTGGAAACCTATTTCTCATAAGAGGGAGAATTCGTGACTCAAGCGTCTTTGCTAATAGAGACAGAAGGATATCGGCCTGAACGACTGACCACTACTGGCATCAGTATCGGGACCACCCTTTTATATTCCACACTTCAGGAGCAATGTCGGTGGCTAACGACAGGTTGAGTACACCAGTTAAGTACTTTACTCTAGGTTCATCCTGTTGCTTCAGCATTACCCTTAAGACTCCTTCCGGGCCCAACGCTTTGGATAATTTAGCTTTTCGAATGACATCTGCAACATCATCCTTCCAAAAAATCGAAGGGCACCGTTATAATGGGTTTATACCATAGGATGAGCTAATGTTGATAATTTTTAGTTGCTGTTATTGCAGTGTTCTGAATTAGTCTTCAAATTAAAAAATTGGACCAATACTACTCTGGTTTGTATATACAGCTGGCGGTCTGAGGAGACATTCACTGTGTATATAATTGAATATGTCGTCTTCCTCTATTCCCTACCACTTCTCTCTCGTCTGCCTTCTGCTTTTCACGTACTCATGAATGGCATAATGGACCAATGGTCTCCCAGTGAATACAGCTGCTAAATAATTGGTGGTTAAACGTCCTTTAACCCAGCCTAAGATTCCGGACATGCTGACCTATTGCTTTCTAAAAGGTCAACAGGGTTTCCTTGTCTGTGTCCCAAGTGCTGCCAACAACGTCTAGCGGACTTTGATTCTACTTTTTACTGCCACAAATATTCAGAGCAACATTAATCTCCTCCATTTTTTGTTATTTTTGTAGCATATGTTTAGGCGTTTGATAATTGTTAAATATAACGTGAGGTTACCTTTATCTTATCGGACAAATTTCGAAGCACACTTATAAGAATGGGAATTAAATTATCTGTCCAATATCATTCTTCCTATAGCTATCGATGGGTTGTAACAACATTTGCAAATTGTTTTTGCTAGTTTGATGGACCAACATCATATTTCTCAGGGCCAGTATGGGAAGTAACAAAGTCTGAACAGGGGTTAGAAGTGCCCTTAGGATTCATATTTTAATCCTTAATAATTTAATTGATACGGGTGTTATATCTATATTTAGGTCGTATTCAATCTGGTCCAAATTCAAAAGATGACGTAGAACACGTTGTGTATTTAAAATTAAATCGACCGAAATTTTATATACGAGGATTGACCAAAAATAAAAATATCTGAATACTAAGAGCCTTTAGAAGAATGCCGAACTCTCAGTTGTTCACAACGGGATCTGAAGGATTATTGACTTCGCTCAAAAATTAACAAAACGGCGGTCCATGGAAAAAATATTTTTAAAAAAGCGCCTATTTTTGACATATACGCCGTATTGGGATCCATTTGAACCGATATATATTGACCGGTCGTCATCGAAACAGTCATGCTTACTCCGTGATCAAACCATTTTTTCTGTGTAAAATTTCGTGATGTTCGGGTCAGAATTGTGGCTTCTTTTTTGATCCAAACTAGAGACTGTGACTAATTGATTAATCGACTTGTACTGTATTAATCGACTTATCGAAGTCGACTTTTTATCTTTGAGAAAATCGCTAATTCGACTTTTGCGCTCGACCCTTACCTACTGTCGAACCTATATGCCAAATTTCGTGAACAGACGGATGGCTTAGATCGAATAAGCTAGTCGAGATTAAGTAACAAATAAATAACTTGAACAGGTTAGGTATGACTCGATTCATAGATTGATTCTTCTAAATACAGCCTAAATAGTTTATAAGGATACCGATTTTAGCGACATATCGGCTGTAACGACGGTATAAAACAGTCTCGCAAGATGTTCTCCTCTTTATTTCATATCGTTTTTATATCGCTCATTTGAAAAAATTCACCAGTTCCTTGAACGTTGTCATAAACTATTTCGACTGTTATCCTAAAAAATAACTGTTATTCTATATTCTTTCCTTCTGCATAAAATAATGCAAAATATCCAGGTATCACATTTGTGCGTAGGATATAAAAAAAGTTTCGCTGATACTCACCACTTCCTTCATCGCCCATAAAATGACCCCAACCGCCACAATTGTACGATGTACCATCGGGATTTCTCAATAAAGCATTCGATCCAGTGCCGGATATAACAACCATACCACCAATTGGCGAAGCCGTACAAATACTACCAACTGTATCACTTGTTACCGTATAATTATCCGATAAATTTGGAAATGCTGTACGTAATTCTTTTTCCAATTCTCGATTGGTAGCTTCCTATATAAAAAACAAAGCAAAACAAAAATTGATTATTATTTGACCTTGACTTAATAAACATTGCAAATAATATCTGCGTTCGCTACATACATCCTCACAGCCGCTTAAACTTAAACCTAAACTTGTTAAACGTGTCTCCTGCGGTATGCCTGCATCAGCTTTGGCACGTTCCACCATATCGGCAATGCGACGAGCACATTCAGCCTTACCAATGTGCCAATGATTGGTACCCAGACCGGTTGTTGTCGCACAGCATTCACCCTTCTCATCACAGATGACTAAGCGTGAATGTGTAGCACCCCTGTGAAAAAATAAATAAATAAAATTTGGGGATTATAAGTTAATATTAAAGTACTGAAACAACCGCCACTTTGCTGTCAAAATGCGGTTAATCTTATAAAACTTAAATGGGGCCGGCTTATTAAAAATATCTGGATTGAAATATCCAGATTAAAGTTTAAATGAAAGCTCTATTTTACTTCTGTTATTCGTATCCACATCTTCTTCTCAAATCTCAATAGCAAATTTTGGTCGAGTCCTTTTTTAAGCAAATTTGGAAATTGTTAGCGCACAGTTGGGCGCCATGTCTAACCATGAGGTCATTTTTATATTTTTTTTCCAAAATATATTTAGAATCCAAAATATCAAATTATAGCCAATTCGGCTGTTCATAATCGTTAGAATTCCGAAAATTGAGGGATACCGTTATATTTGGTACTATATCTAAAAATGCAACTATACCGACTTATAACTTTTGTTACCAAAATGTGTGGAGCTTAGGATAAGCTACATTAATAGTGATTTTTTTAGTAGGGAGAATCTAAAATATCAAATTATAGTTAATTCGGTTGTTCAAAATCCTTAGGATTCCGAAAATTGAGAGGTACCGTTATATTTGAGACTATACCACCTAGCCAAGATGAGATCAGAGTAGCAATTAATCGGCTGAAAAGCAATAAAGCAGCAGGTGGCAATGGATTACAAGTCGAGCCATTCAAGACCGGTGGTCAGATGCTGGCCAGGAGCATACACCAGCTGATTAGTACAATTTGGCTAGAGGTATGCACGCCCAATGATTGTAACCTCGGCATTCTATGTGCGTGCACAAAAAGGCGACAAAACGATATGAACCAACTATAGAGAAATTAATGCAATGCAGTACGCTGTGTGAACTACTGAAGCCAATGACCTCTCGGAGCTCTTTAATACCGAACGAGGATTCAGACAAGGTCACAGTTTGTCGTGTGTCCTTTTTAACATCCTGTTGGAAAAGGTTATACGAGAGGCAAAGGTGAACAGAAATGGCACTCTGTACACCAAACAACACATGCTACTCGCCTACGTCGATGACATCGATATAATGGATCAAACATTGGAAGCGGCAACAGCTACCTTTGAATAAATTGAGAAGGAGTCTGCGAAAGTGGGACTGGCAGTAAATGGCGAGAAGACCAAGCTGATGGAATCAACACGCAAAACGTCCAATAGAATCGGACTAACTGGGAACTTGGAGAAGAATAGCAGTTTAGAAACACGGCCAACTCCCGCCAAACCAAACAGACACTCTACAAGACGCTGACACTACCCGTGCTATTATATGGATCTGAAGCATGGGTTCAGATGAGGCAGTTCTTGGAGTGTTTGAGAGAAAATTTATCCAAAAGATCTACGGGGACGATCTGCGTGGACGGTGCATATCGGCGTCGAATGAACCACAAGCTTTACAATCTATACGCGGACATCGATCTGTCGTTGGTGGTGGTATCGGCGATTCGTATGTAGACTGATGCTAGGTAAATTTTGCCATTCCCCTACTTCAGTACAGTTGCGTCCGATGTTGACAACTCTGGGGAGAAGGGAAAGCATACGTTTTTGTAGCCCATTCTGTATATTCTCGATCTGGAACCGGATTTGTGTAAACTAGTTGGTAGTTAATGAGGTTTAGTCCAAAGACCTTATTTTTATCAATCCAAGCTTCCTGAATTAGTCCTATGGGTATATTATCTATAATTCATTTTTCCATCAGGTTTGATCGCATCCTTCACATCCATATGGGTCTCATTTTTTAGTTTCCCGGAAGCACTACTCTCGTCCATCACTGCGCATACCAGATCTCATTTCTGTAGCGCCAACCTACGCGCAATATGTAGGCTCCTTATCGTTCGTGAAGTTCGGTTATTCCTTTTGGGATTCTTGTTCATTAAGGAAGATTCCGATTCAGCTCATGTTTTCTTGATATATCCAGTTTCGTCGCCCTAAGTCAATGGATTCTCGAAACAGGCTCTTTTAACGTTGGGTTGCTTCAGCTTTCTCTTTTTATCAGCCGACGGTAAACTCATTTCCTTTTTTGTCGGCTTGGCACTTGTCTGCTCTTCAATATTGGTCTAAATTTCAGGGTAGAATACCCCATGACAGGTTTTCAATCCTCACATCAAAATCTGAGTGCCTGTAAATTGATATTTCGTTTTCTCGTGTCAGAAATTGACCATGAAATAGTCACCACATAAATGTACAGATATTTTTTAGGTACGTCTGACTTTATCGATGTACGAGAATAGGTTAACACATGGTTCATTCGATGGTGGTATCCTCCGTCGACAAAGATCGGCCGTAGATCTTTCGGAGAAATGTTGTCTCATCTGCTGGCGCAAGTACCCATACTTTAGATAGATTCACCAGCACGGGTGTCTTGTATAGTTTAGTCTGACGAGAGATTACCTTGTTCTTACTCAGCCCATAGCAGCATCTGTTGGCCAACACTATTCTTCTTCGAATTTAAAAAATGTATATTATTTGTTTTATTGATGGCGGCACCTAGGTATATATATATATATATATAGAACTACTTCAAAACTGTAGTTCTCAAGTTCCACAGTTGGCCCGAGTCTACTGGACGTATTGCGCTTTGATACCATCAGCTTGGCAGACTCCTTCTCAATTCGTTCAAAGGTGGCTGTTACAGCTCGCAATGTTCGACCCATTATGTCGATGTCGTCGGCGTAGGCGAATAACATGTGTTGTTTGGTGTACAGAGTGTAATTTCTGTTCACTTTTGCGTCTCGTATGTCCTTTTCCAGTAGGATGTTAAAAAGGTCATACGACAGAATGTCACCTTGTATGAATTCTCATACGATTTTGAAGGACTCCGAAAGGTTCTTTCCGACCTTAACTGCTGATTTTGGCCCAGTAAAAGTTTTCCTGCATAGCCGACTTACAGTGGTGGTCACAGAATTAAAACATTTACTGTGATAAAAATTTTTTGATCAGCCCTCGAATCGTTTGAAGTATTTTTGAAAATTTTTTAATTCAGAACACTTCGATATACTGTACTTAAGAGATTTAGTGTGAAAATGGAAAATGATTACATGCAATTTTTCCATAAATAACGGTTTTTATGAAAATACATCGACTTTGAAGTGGCCATATAATTAAAACATTGTGTGATTTTTTACTTTACTGTATTTTTTTGAAAATATTTTTAAAAAAGCTTTTTAATTTAGTTAAATTATGTAAACTAAGCATCGATAAAGTCATTTTCTGACAAAAAATTTTGAAAAAATCTGTAAAATCTATCAAATTCGCCAAAAATTTGTACAGTACACCTTACATTCAGAAAATAACCCTTATTATAGAAAATAAAGTTCCGAATGCACCAGAAATTACTAGAATTAGTAGAAAACTATAAATAATTCTCAGAATAAATAAATATTTGAAATAAAAACTGAAAAAATGGGAATTAACCAAAAAGAACGACTCAATTTCGATAGCCTTTATTGAAGAACGCAGGAATATTTTTGCAGTATGTGAGGAAATATCGATTGATATTGGCATTTATTATACCAAATCGATTGTTCGAGTAGTACAGAATATATTTTATCAAAAAATATACAAGTCACAACAGAAAGGACAGAGATCAACGCCTATGTTGACGAATAAAAGTTTCTGCCACACGGCAGCATTTTTGATGCTCAACACAAGACGTTAAATATTTGTCAAATTGTAATTTTTTTCTTTCTTTTGGGCTAAAATAGATTAAATGGGCATTATTCTATTCAAAAAATATTATTTTGGAAAAATATTGCCATGTTCAATAGATTTTAAGGGTCAAGAGTTAACCATCAATCATGCTGCTGTGTACCAGAAACGTTTCCTCGTCAACATAGGTGTTGATCTCTGTTCGTTCTGGTGTGACTGATATATTTTTTGATAAAATATATTCTGTACTACTCGAACAATCGATTTGGTATAATAAATACCAATATCAATCGATATTTCCTCACACACTGCAAAAATATTCCGGCCTTCTTCAATAAAGGCTATCGAAATTGAGTCGTTCTTTTAGGTTAATTCCTATTTTTTCAGTTTTTATTTCAAATATTTATTTATTTTGAGAATTATTTATTGTTTTCTACTAATTCTAGCAATTTCTGGTGCATTCGGACCTTTATTTTCTATAATAAGGGTTATTTTCTGAATGTAAGGTGTTCTGTACAAATTATTGGCAATTTTGATAGATTTTACAAATTTTTTCAAAAAATTTTATCGTAAATGATTTTATTGGTGCTTAGTTTACGTAATTTAACTAAATTAAAGAGCTTTTCTAAAAATATTTTCAAAAAATGTAGTAAAGTAAAAAATTACACAATGTTTTAATTATATGGCCACTTCAAAGTCGACGTATTTTCATAAAAACCGTTATTTATGGAAAAATTGCATGCAATAATTTTCCATTTTCACACTAAATCTCTTAAGTGCAGTATATCGAAGTGTTCTGAATTAAAAAAATTTCAAAAATACTTCAAACGAATCGAGGGCTGATCAAAAAATGTTTACCACAGTAAATGTTTTAATTCTGTGACCACCACTGTAAGTTTGTAGGAATGCTGAACGCAGAGATGGCTTTAAACATGGGTAAAACCCCGCTAAAAAGTCCACTTTTCGATCTTTCGATTATGTCAAACCGGGTCAACATCGATTTTCGACTTTTAGCGACTAATGCAAAAACGACTAAAAACTTTATTTTTTTATATGAATTGTTGTCAACAGACCAAATATTGTTCTGGAATATTTAATTTTTTGGAAATTTGGGCTTTATGACAATAAACCTTGAAGAAAACAGAAAGTCGTCTTTGCGATTTCCTCAAAGATCAAGAGTCGATTTCGACTTAAAGACTTTTCAATGCAGAAAGTCAATTTATCGCTTAGTCAAAAGTCGATTTCCTTATCCCTACCTCTGAGTGGCTTTATAGTCAACGAATAGGTGGGATGTGTTCATATGTTTTTCGTCTTTACTAGCATTTGCCGTAGAGGACACATCTGGTCTATATAGTGGATTTGTCAGGTCTGAAGCCGCTTTGATAAGATCCACTTCATGATAGAGGGTATAAAAAGATTTTGGGGCAAATTTAATTCTCAAGTCACTGTGAACACAACACATGGTCGTACGTTATGCTAAACAATTTCAAATTTTCCGAATGGAAATGTCAGAGCACTTAGTTTTGTTTAGACCAGAAATAAATATAGGTGACCTCGTATTTACCTTAATTAATAGAATATCTAATCGAAAAAAAATATTGCAACAAATGTACATATTTTCACTTAATCACCATCAATTCACATCAATTGAGTTCCATTAAGGAAGAGATACATTCTTGCAACACAAACTAACTTTTAGATTTCTCTCTCTTAGCTTTGCCTCAAATTAAGTTCAGTGACTTTGTAGATGCGAATTTTATGGCTGGAGGCCTGGTGGATAACAATATATTTAAATTGGGATCATGACTTTTCTTGAAACGTTGACCAAGATTTCATAATCAAATCAATTTTAATTTACAACAGCCAGCAAGTGCGTATCTGAGGAGGAGAGAGTACTCTATATTTGTTGTTATTGTCGTGGTCGTTCGTAATGGCCATTAAATCATAACATCAACAGTTGCGATTGTAATTTTCCTATTTATTAATGGAGAGGTGCCGATGTCACAATAATCAATTAATAAATAAATTATTTGCATCTGTCGATCGCAGCAGATTTCAATGTTGTTGTCGTGCCATAGTTCAGGAATTTTTCGTTGTTATTTAATTTTTTTTGCTGCCCCTGCAGGGTAGGCAAATAAAATTAAATAAAAAAATACATTTAATAGATAAGCGAAAAAAGAAATTCAGTAGAGGCCGAAACAAACCATAGTGTCAATAGTCATTCAATAATAAAAATGTAATTCCAATGGTGATTTACAATTATGTTTTCATTATTGTTTTTGTTTTTCGTTTTTTTTTCTCTGATATTGATTATCGATAAAAATAAACCAATCAATAAATAAAATGTGTAATAATTCTCAGGATCATATTTACACTGCGGAAGTTTTATTATCACTTCTATATTTAATTGTGTACAAGAATTACGAGTATTATTTTAGATATTTATGGTATGCAGTACAAATAATAAAATCATAATAACATATCGGCAAATTTCAGTAGTAATTTATTTAATGTTTTAATGACGAGATTTGTAAAGGGTAAGTTTTTAGCTATTATCTTCTTGGGCAACACAGGTTTTAACATTTCGCGCACGTTTCGTATTTTGTTTCATTGTCAGATATCTTCAATTTGGCATATAATTTGAAGTTGTCTTAGAAATCTGCTAAGGTTAGATCACAAATAATTCGAGAAGTAGCTTCATAGACGTGGTGTATTACGATAACCAATCAACGCATCAAATCGTATATCTCATTCGCTTCATATGAAGTTTACAAAACAAAACATTTACATAGGACCGTGGACTATATATGTCGATAGTCAGGCGACCCTTAAGGCATTAAAGTCGACGAGCTTGCTCGAGGGGGTACACAGTCGTCCAATCTACCGATTGAGGGATCCATACAACCGCCCATTGGCTACTTTATTGGCAAAATCCGTTTGAGCTACTGCGAGGTAGTCGGCAACCTATGGTCATCCGAACCTGGATGCAGGATTTCGAAAACCATCTGGCTAGAATTCTCTCGCCGTAAAACTTCTTCGCTGTTGTCCCATAACTAGAGGAAAATTAAAATCGTTGTGATCATAACAGGTCATTGCAAGATTAGATCTCACACTTCTAAATGGGACATTAACGGAGTGGATTATTGCCGTGGCAGAAGGCACAGACAGTTCGGCAAATATGAAATTGATAATTGAGCATTCTTCTCTTAAATAGACCCCAAGCAGATCCTAAGCTTTGTTAAGAGTTTGACATGGCTGAAATAACCATCTTTCTATACTCCCCAAACATCCACTATCTTTCCACTTTCCCTTCACCTTTCTTTTCAGGTACCAAGGATGAGCACAATTGACAAATGTCTCCGAACGCTCCCATCCTCGGACTTGATCTAGATTTGATAAATCTATTTCGAAGTGTAAAGCTTGAAGTTTTACATTCCATTCGCAGGAAGAACTTGGATATACAAGTAATTCTTTAAAAAAAAGTGAAACTTTGTGGAAATACGAATGAAATGTGCCGATGAATTCCATTTTCAGGCATGATTTTTGGTTTGGTAAAAGTTTGGATTAAATCGTACACTCATTCGATTTATATGAGATTTACAGATTATCTAAATTTTGACCCTTTTGTGGGGAGGGGTGGTACAGGGCGAAGTGGGCAGATTAATCCCTCGGTCTTGATTAAAAATATTTTCATGTGTGAAAATTTAATAAAATTGGACAATTTTACTGGGCGAGGTATCAGATGCACACTGTAGGATTGAAATCATCGGCCAATCCTACAATGTGCAAAGTTTTGAGGAATTTGGAAGTTATGTTCGATTCGTTTGACATTAACAAAATTTTGTAAATTTTTTTATGGTAGGTAGAAGGAGTAATTGGTCTCATCTTCGGTTGGGTGCTAAATTTGGATGTAATCGGTTATTCCCTTCTAGTGTTATCATGCTCCTCAGCCAAACAGACGAGGATCGACATTCGTAAATCGACTTCAAATTGTCTGAAACGGATTTGGTCCAAAGAAATTTTGGGTCTAAAACTATTATTTCCATGCGGGAAACAAAGTGTATATATCCCGCTCATTAGCCATAAGTCTGAGGATATAAAAACTATGCTAAGTTCGTCCAGGCCGAATTTGTTATATCTTACACCATAAGGGTGACATTGATGTACCTAAAATCGATCGGAACTCTTATATAGGTACTATACCATAGGGACCAGAGCAGAATGCTAACGGACACGTACACAGGTTGCGGACAGTGCAAATTCCAACATTGGTTAGGTGTGAATATAAATAAACAGTCGTCGACAATCAGTGGGTCCTGTGGGATTTTTGGAGGAAATGACCGAGTGCCTATGATCCGAAGATAGAAGAGGCGAGAATACACAATTCTTAAGTCTTTGGCACTTCCTTCCTAAGAGGCCTCACTAAAACTGGGGTGTTATTCAAACGGAACCTATTGATACCTGGGCGACTCAACAAGCTTTTTCACGCTTAGCTTGCGATGATGTCAATGCAAGCCGGAAGAGGCATGCGGACCTTCTCCTCCATCGCGGCGCGGATAAGGATCCCAACTCCATCTCAACGGCGTGCAGCGACATCTCGAGACTTCTAAGACAGCTGGCCTTCAAAGTAGAGGCTGGGGCTGATGACCGTTTGTTCTCAGATCTTAAATTAAATATTCCTTTAGGTCATCTTGGAGAAATGCCACAGAACAGTTGGGCGCCATGTCTAACCATCGATCAATACTAATAACTTTCCGCATGGAAATTTGCTTCCATTATGTGGGGTCTATACGGATGTACTAATAATGATTCATTTTGCTAGGGGTATGTCAAAAATGTAAAGTGATCGCCAATTTACAGAAATTGCAATGGAAATATGTTCAAAATACCGGCTATGGGAAGGAACCTTTAAATAGAGCTATTCTTCAAAAATTTGTATCACCTTCACGAAAATGTTAATGTTTTTAATCAGCGTAGAGTTTTATTCTGATCAAGAAAATATTTTCAATATGGGGACTCCGACAAACGGAATGACAAATTGAATATACACTCCATCTTATGGTGGAGGATGTAAAATGAAAACGGTATTTTATCCTGTGACAAAGACACTTTCAAAATATCGAACATTGACCGATTTTGAAATTACTCTCTCTTTAAATTGTCTTAGAGTAGGTTTGTTATCCTCTGAGAACCTAGAATTAAAAATTAGAGGTTTAGTAAAAAATTACATTAACTCATATTGGAAATATTCTACTAAGACCGCAAAATTCCAAATTGTCACACCGATTGGAAAATATGCCTAAAAACATTTCTAAATTTTGTGCAACCTTTTCTATACGGATATATAAAAATTCATTCTGCGAAAAACATCAATAAAGCCCTTGGCGAGTTTATTAAGAACCCAGAATAGGTCTGAGTTCTTAATATAGGCCAAGTTTTTGAGTTAGAAATGAAAAAGACTCATATCATTGTTTGTGGCTATTTTAGATTTTTGGTGCTTTGGAATTCCTAGCCCAGTTTCCCAAACTGACTGTCTGTAATTTAAAATTTAAGATGTCTCAGACTATAACCAAAGTAGTTGCAGAAAATTTATATTTTCGACACGACCAAGCTTTTTGTAAAAATATCTACGTCCTATATGGAAATTAAAAAGAAAGATAGCATAGACTTACCCTTCAACACCTCCAAAGTATTTCATTGTCATCCTTTTTTGCAGATATCAAATTTAGAACTTAAAATAAACGATGTTTCGGAATTTTCAAAAATGTTTAGAGCCGCCTATATTTCATGAACGCATAACCTGTAAAACAAAAATTAAAAAAAAACATAAGTATTTATTTATGCACAAATATATAAACAAACATATATTTAAAGTAAAACTCATTAATCCATTAAAATGTTATCTTGCAATTTGGATTATGACTTTTTTTCTACCTTTCCATTGCAATAATTATTTTGCTTAATTGCACAAAAAATAAACATAAGAAAATAAAAAGGGGGAAAACAAAAAAAAAAATAAACAAAAAACAGAAAACGTAATTTAATATTAACTTTAAAAAAATAAAATGTTGTGTTGTTTTTTTTATTGATCGAATGTGTGGCGTTAGCAAAGCGTGCATGCATTCGTTGAATGACTTTCGTTAGTTGCATTCTTTAAATTTTGCTTAGTTTTGAAAATTCCATAACTAATTTCAATTAGTACTCGTATTTTCTATTTAATTGTTAGCTTATCTTTTTTTTTTTGGATAAATACTCATTATTAAATGTAATATTTCTATTTTAGAAATTACTAGCCTATTTCTGCAAATTTCGAACTGATCTAATGAGGTCACATTCACTTTGACACTATTATCGGTTCTAGATCATACGATCCCCCCATAGCCATAGTCTTTAATTGTCGAAAAGAACAAACCTTGCACATCGTGATATTTTTCTCAAACTTAGTTAATTTTTGAAACTCTTTTCGATGCAATCATGGCAAGAGGGTGCGATAAAATTAAATGGTTGTATGGTAATGCATCATCATCCTATAGATAGCACAGGGAAAAACTGTTCCAGAACATTCTAGGGAAGAAATGTAGAAATCTTAATCAGAAGTTTTCTTCTACAGAATATTGTTTAGCGCATATAGCTGACTCAGTCTACAATTGTTCGGTTTTCCATATTTTTTGAACAATTTCCATGTGGTAAAGATTCAGAGTAGTCCCATTTTCCTACCGAAATGCCTCTAATTTTGGATTATCATTGTGTATAAAATCGTCATATCAATGATTATCAATATCTTTTCTTGTTTTGGTATAGCCCCAATTTTGAGAATTTTGGTATGTTCAAGTTTCTGTGCAATTTTAAACTTGAGAGTCTGTAGTTTGATAGTAAATGTGGAGGGTAGTCGAGGATATACAACGTTTGTCCCGGACAAACTTAACGCCTTTTTACTTGTATCAATTTTAATGTTATTCTCTTCATACCCTAACTTTGGGTGGGAATTCAGGACCTTCTACTATTGACTGATGAAAATTTCGGTTACACGAACTAAAGATTCTATAAATTAAAAAGTCAATGTAAATACCTTGTTTTGGACCACGATTTTAAGAGAAGTTGGTCCTTTTCCTATTTTTTGTCCTAAATGTACAGTCGTGATTCCGGATGAGATATCAACTTTTTGAAAAGACACTTTGATAGGTAAAAATGTGCCACATCGAAATATTAGTGTTAGACCCCATGTTTCTTTGGTCCAAATCCGTTTCATACAATTTGGAGTCGATTTACAAATGTCCGTCCGTCTGTTTGACCTGCTGGTGAGCACGATAACTCTCGAAGGAACTATTCGATTTCATCCAAACTTTGGATACCGTAGTATTTCTACCAAACTTAGTTCAAGTTCAAAGATGGGGCATATTGGTCCGCTTCTTCTGGTACCGCCCCCACAAAATGGTAAAAATTGTGCTAAAAAATAATTTTATAATATCATGCGAATGGACTATCCGATTGGAACCAAACATTGCACAACATTATCTTTACAAAGCCTAGATCAAGTCCGAAGATGGGACCCATTGGTCCACTACTTCTGGTACCTCCAAATTTTTCAATATTTATAAATCCAATATCTGGCGAATGATATGTTCGAACCAAACTTTGCACAGTGTATTATCTTTACCGAGCCTAGATCCGATGTTGGAACCGTCTGCCCTCTCCTGAAAATGTTGACCCCACAAAGGGTCAACATTTTCAATATTTTTAAATCCAATATCTGGCGAATAATATGTTAGATTTGGACCAAAGTTTGGATAACCTATTATATTTACCAAGCCTAGATCAAGTCCGAACATTGGTCCACTCCTTCCTCCACGAAGGTTCAAACTTTTCAATCTTTATAAATACAATATCAGTCGAATAGAATGTCCGATTTAAACCAAACTTTGCTCAACCGGTCCACTCCTTTTGGTAACTGCCCAAAAAATGGTCAACATTTTCAATATATCAAATACATAAGTAGGCGAATTGACTGACCGATTTGATCAACATTAAATCCAAAACCTATTTTATAAAAGTATATTGCTTATGTAAAACGTATAATAAAACCTGTGTGTAACTATGAAAACCTCCGCAAGCCATAGGCTGAGGGTATACCGACTGACACAGTCGGTATACCGACTGACACGTTTTTACTTGTTTTCATACGCTTTAAAATGAAACCCATATTTAACATAAGGAGTACTCCTTCACTGTATCGTTTGCAATCTGATTTTGTATCCAAAATTTCGGGTCGAATAACCGGGTAATAGTATACAACCCGCAATAATATAAAACATTCCCATAATTAGGACAATAATACAAGTCTGTACAAGTTTCCGATTCTGATGGTGAACCCTTACCAAAATCGGAACTAAATTGTGTGACGGTGTCCTCGCATTCGATTTCCATTAAACTTAAAAGACGACATTCTAGGCCCATTTTCGTAATCTGTGCCAATCGGACAAACGTTGGAAGTTTAGCGTATCATTTCCCGAAAATCTAACGAATCTAAGGAAACTATATCAAAATCTGAACCAATTCCGTAAGCTGTTCCGGGAGCTATATGTAAATCTGAATCGATTTTCATTGTTTCCTGGTTTCCCATTTTGTATTAATTGATTCCGTAAAACCGGTATAATTGGGCACCCGTACCCTAGAAAAAATATATAGAAGCCCTTTAGCCGTCACTTGAGAATATATTTTCAGAGATTTTCACTTCAAATTTTGTGCAGGGTCCGGGTACCCAATTTAGCGGTTTTACGGAATCAATAAATACAAAATGGGCGTTATCTTGAAGATACTTCTCCATTAACCTTTAGGCGTCATTTTCAAAACAATCCGGGTCCAAATCCCATTTTTACTGGTTTGAAGGGTATTTTTATATGCTTTAAATTATACGCATTTTTTATTAATATCTTCTGTATGTCCGCCAAGAAAAAAATAAGGACCAAGTCTAGTTTATTAGAGTCCGGTCGCTGAGACCCTGATTACAATGCTATAAATTATTACTTGCGGATTTCGGCAAGTATTTCCGGATGATTTTAAAATTCACAAAGGGACTATGGGTACCATGTTAATGCGTTTGATGTTCTGATTACAAAAATTTAATTTTCTTATCGAAGAATTCCATACTTCCTGAGATATGAGCCTCGGAAATTTCGGGTGCCCTTTAAAATTATTAACCCTATGTGGCCCAATGTTGCCCACAGGCAACGAAATGTTATAGAGCGAATATTTAATATATTGCTAGTAGATATATATTCTTTGGATTGCATACGTCAAGGCCTGATTACGGACGACACATATCACAAGAAAAATCTAAAAAATTCAAATTTTTGGTAAAGTTATGAGCTTTTTAATATGGAGAAGAGGGCCAAATGTGTACAGTACTAATTTGTGTATACAGTCCAAATTAAAATTATTTTTTCGTCGTTTTTGCATTTGGTTTTTTTGATATTGGGCTTTTATTTTTCAGAAAGAATGTACTGTATCTCCCGAATGCAAGGATGTAGCGATGTCAAAATTTGTCCGTATCCTATCTAGGATAGTTGCATTAAATCTGTGAACAGAAAATTGTTCTATGATTACGGAAAAAAATTCGGGGCTCAAAGGGTTAATATTTCAAAATTCAAGTTGCTTTAAAGTAATTATCTTATCAAAAATGTCCATATTTCCTGCGGATGGGCGGCCTTTAGCCGGGGACGTAAGACTTTCCCCAATAGCTTCTAATCAATGTATTTAATATTTAAAATTAAAAAATTTGTGGACTTCTTCGATAAGGAAATTTGAATTTTTGTAATAAGTAAATCAAACGCATTAAAATGATACCCATATTCACATAGTGGATTTTAAAAATCATAACACAATACAAGGGTCCAAACGGAACTTTAGAGGCCAATATCTCCGGGAATAGGGTTTTCAGCAAGTAATAATTTATACCACTGTAATCAGGGCCTCGAGGACTACCTATGGTTTAAAATTACTAAATATTTCAAAACTATCCGCGACCGGACCCTAAACTAGTGGATTTTATAATCCATAAAAAATACAAGAGTCCTAGCAGAACTTTGGAGGCCCAAATCTCCGGATATACGGATTTCCACTAGAAAAAAATATACCAAAAAACTGATATTTTTACTAAGCTTAGTAAAGCCTAAATATCTGGGCCATCGGAAAAATTGTTAGGTGTGACGTTATTGCATTCACACATCTACTTATGTACGACGACTTTTGCCGATCACTGTAATTTATTTTTCGAAATAAAAACCCTATAATAAAATCCCCATAATCAACCACAAAAGAAACAATAACTGAAACATTTATGGCTTTTGTTTCACTTTCAAGTACTGACCAAAAACAGGTATTGATTAGAAATAAAGGTGGGAATTGTTGTGACAACCTTTGGCTTAACACGCCACTGTGCAACTAACCAAAAATTCAAAATCACAACACCAACAACAACCGGTAGTTAACGTTGTAACTTGACAGAACCACAAAAGAATGCACTTTAAAAATCTAACTGCGTGTCTATGTACACAGGCAGTGGGACGGGTGGACGGCTGGACGGACAGTCAGCCATGCAGGCAATCACAACAAAAACCCGCCCGCCAACAAAATTCCGATACGTAAACGGCAAATGCAACGAAATTAAAAAAAAGAGAAATAACAACAACAATAACACAAATAACTA